GCCCGTGTACATGACCAAGCCGAGCACGACAATACCAGCGAGCGACATGGCCTGCGAGATGGTGCGCGTCATGGCCGCCATGGTCCGGAAGATGGCCGACATGGTGAAGGTGGCGGTGTACGTGAACAGGAAGTAGATAAAGAACTGTGCGGGCTCGCGCCGCAGACCGGCCATGAAGTAGAGCACAATGTTGAAGCAGGTGGCGATGACGAACTTGATGGGGATGTCAGCGACGACGCCGGCAATGGCGTTTGTGGCCGGGTGGTAAAAGGCGTACGACGCGTGCTTTTCGACAATGGGGCGCTGGGCGTACAGGCTGTTGATTTCCGTGAGCGTGACGAGGGCGTTGAGCAGGACGGCCATGAAGAGGGCGGAGGACTTGGAGAAGAAGCCGGCCGTGGCGTCGGGGGTGCCGTAAACGATGGAGCCGATGATGAGAGCGAGGACGATGCAGGTGACGGCAGTGGTGATGGTGGGAGCCTTGTCGTTCCAGAGGCGCTGGTACTCGCGCTTGGTGTTGAGCTTGATCTGCATGCCGGTGCTGATGATGTAGGGCGACTTGGGGCGGACATGGTTGGCCTGCTTCTCCTTCTTAACCTCGCGCATGGCCGACACGTTCTGGCCATGCGCGTCGAGCGGGTACGCCGCCTCGTGCTCGGCCACGGCGGCCAGCATAGCCTCGTACTCGGCGGACTTGAGCCAGCACGCCTCAAACTCCTCGGCGGTGCGCGGCACCTTGTCCTCCATGCCGGGCTTGGCCTTGCGCTCGACGGGGTTGGTGACGGAGGTCAGGAAGTCGCCGGTGGTCTGGCGCGTGGGGCAGGCATAGCCGAGGCCCTCAAAGTACGCCTTGGCGCCGTTGGCCGGGCCAAAGTAGATCTGGCGGCCCTCGTAGAGGACGGTCGCCTTGTCAAACAGCTCGTAGATGCTCTCGCTGGCCTGGTAGATGGCGACGGCGTTGCAGGTGCGGGCCAGGTCGCTGGCGATGCGCAGGGTCTGCACAAACTTGAGGGCGGTGGCCGAGTCGAGGCCGCGCGTGCTGTTGTCCCAGGCCATGAAGGGGCTGCCCACGACCATCATCTCGGCAATGCTGACACGCTTGCGCTCGCCGCCCGACACGCCGCGCACAAACTCGTTGCCGACCTTGGTGTTGTAGGTGTGGCTGAGGCCGCAGACGGCCATGACGACCTGGGCGGCGTACTTGGCGACCTGGTTGCGGGTCATGTTGGGGTTGACAAAGGACCACTTGTGCGAGGGCATGCGGACCTGGGCGGCGAACTCGAGCGTCTGGCCGACGGTCAGCTCGGGGAAGTGCTTGTCGACCTCCTGGTTGTAGATGGTCTCGCCGCGGAACTCCTTCACCATCTTGGGCTGCGGAATGCCGCTGTAGTGGATGGTCGAGCCCTCGTCAATGTGCAGGCCGTGCAGCTCGCCGCACATGGACTTGAGCAGCGTGCTGCAGCCGGAGCCAGGGCGGCCCAACACGACCAGAAGCTCGCCGGGCGCGACAACGCCGTTGAACTTGTGCAGGATCTGCTTCTTGGGTGCGCTCTTGCGCAGGCCGACGGCCTCGCCGATGCGCAGCGGCAGGGAAAGCGACGACAGGAGGGTCGAAGCCACGGTCTGCTGCACTTGCAGGTCGGGGGCACTGCCGGAGACGGACAGGTTCTTGAACACGATGCCGGGCCGCACACGTGCACTGTCGATGCCCTCGCCGCGCATGGAGCGGATGAACTTGCCGAGCCACTTGGAGATGTCGAAATTGGGGCTGTTGGGGTTGAGGGCGTCGTCGCCCGCTGTAAATGTCTGGCCGGCCTGGTCATGCTCGCCGGTGAATGACATGGCCGTGGCAACGCGGCGGATGGCATCGCGGTCGTGCTCCTGGATCATCGTGTGGGTGTGGCTGCGCGTGAGGTTCGTTTGGGCCGATGTGACGGACTCCGAGTCGAGAATCTGGTCCACCTCTTCGATCTCGTCCGGCCGATGCTGAGCAACACCGGTGTCGGCGGTGTGGGATACCACGCCGCTCGGGGCGGCGGACGGTGGCAGGTTGGTGACATTCTGATGGCCTGGAGCAGCCAATGGCTCGGCTCCGTCGATGTTGGCGGCCATTGATGCTGGACGTGTCGAGTCCACCTATACAGAGATATAAGAGGCTACGCCAGCTCTGGTGATGGTGCGATGGGCAAAACAAAAACAAACAAAACGACAATGCAAAGACAAGAGCAAGGGTCGTGGCAGATGATGGAAATCAAAACAAAGAACCGTCGTGTTAGCCAGGTCCCAGAAGTTGCAATTCCACTTGAGACCAGATGGAGGGCAACCGAAACTTAATATAGGTCCAAGTAAAAAAAAAACATCCAACAATTAAGGAAAGAAATACACTTGCCATAGCCCATGGAAACGAAACAGCAAAGGAGCTGAGTCCCGTCCAGTCCACAAGAGCTAATTACAATGTGGTCGCGAAGCTCCGTCGGTTTGAAGGGGGGGGGGACGCAAGTGGTTGCTCTTACTCATGCTGAGCCCACCACATAGGCATCAACCACTAACACACAGCAGACCTAGCCCAATTCCGTACTTCCGTCTGCTTTAGTCACCCTCGGCGATTTTTGCAGGTCTCATTCCTGGCTGCCGTCGCTTTTGGGGTTGGATCTGCAGGCCGGGAACATTCCGAGCGCGAATGACTTCGCACTGACAGTCAAGTACCGGCCTATGTGAGTTGTCCGGTCTGAGGTAGTCCCCGTTAGTATGTGTATTTTGGGACGATTTTGGTGGGTTTGGTGGTCTTGGGAACGCCACGTCGCGTCAACGCCACCAACGGACTTCCAAACCACCGTCTCCCCGAAAAGAGATGACTGCCGCGGTCCTTTTGGTTTTTTGGTGCTTTTGGTCTTTGGTCGCATTCGTTTTGTTGTTTTTCTTGTCCTTTTTCCCATGTCGTCATTGTGCATTGTGGTCGACCATTGCCCCCTTTTTTCCATCTACGATATTCTCCGAGATTTGTGTCGTATTTTGCGGTTTTCTCAACTGGAGCCAGTCCGCATGTGATTGTCCAGTTACCTCTGGACATTGCCGTCGCCTCTGGCAGTGACTTTTGACACCCCATGCACACGTTTTGTCCCCGTTTTTGTTGACTTTGTGCAACCCTTTCCACTTAGGGCCAGCACGACCCATTCCGTTGAAGCTCGGAGTCCACTGACGAGAAAGTTGCCGCCAGACCCTTTTTTGCCTGGCTCTGCGGTCTAACGCCGATCCAAGGAAAACAACGAAAGGCGATCGTTTTGCTAAGTGGGCCGGATTTGGGCCAACAATGGTGTTGCAATGTTTTGCGAGCCAGACAGCCAGAATACAGATCTAGTTAATAGTTTCTTGCATTTGGACTAGCAAACTGACCAGTGACTGTCCATTTGCCAATATTTTTGTTTTGCATGCGACGCATTCTAAATCGCCAAGGATGTTGTGAGACAAGTACTGAGGTCTTGGGAGGCAAGTAGCACGATGCCCGTTTTGGAGACCGTTTTCTCAACATGCTCGCGCAAAGGATACGCAAACGAAATTGATCCTCAGTCGACAGGTCAGCGTGAGCACTCGGACAGGTTAGAGCGGGTACGTCTTACATTGATTTTCGGCAGATCGTTGTCTTGTCACTAGAGCTCGATGCATCGCTGGTAGATCCAAGTTTATCGCATACATCCACGACATCGTACAAACAACGTACGGTGTACTTGCCACACAGCTTTCTTTGGGCATAGTGATGTAACGGTTTTCAGGGGTCGATTTCGATAGCGTGTTTTTGGAATATTGACATATCCCATGATTCAGTTTGATTTGCCCCGACGATAATCATCGAGGCGTCTATGTCGGCCTGTCGGGCAGTCACTGTCTAAATGATAGAGACGACAGAGATGACGGAGATGATAAACATGACGTCGGCACGGGCGCCTCAGGTACAGGGATGAGTGCAGATGCATTGGCCAAAGACATGAGAGGGCGATGCTTCACGGGCGCACCCGAAAGCTTTGTGTTGTCTGCTGTTGTTCCGTGTTTCGTAAACCAAATTTCTAGATTTAGAAACCGCCGCTCGTTATCGCATTCGCGTTTTTAGCGATCATTTTTCGCGGGCGCAGGGCTCTCCTCAGCCTGGCAGCGCTTCTCTCCCAATTCGGTTTAGGCAAACGGGATGGCTCCGACTAACACTGAACCTTTGCATGCTGGAGATTCGGCTTCGGAATGGATCCGGCTGCAAAACCCACATATTCCACACGAAAGTAGCAAACTTCTGCTGCAGTACGAGCAAGTCGGTGTTCGTCTTTCGCGAAAAGTCAACAAGGGGTCTTGGCTCTTGGCTGGACCCTGTTTTTTTATTCGTTCGATATTGATAGCACATCGTCTAGATGCTTTAGGTACTTTTGATTGCTCTGCATTATCTTACCGCTCTCAAAATGGGGCTGACTTTGTGGATAGTTGATCGATCGCCGTCCCTGACTCCGTCGGTGCAATTTGACAATTCGACTGCGCAGCAAAACGTATCGGGGTTCGGTTGGCTTCCCCTAGACTCACTCTACTTACTGCCCTGGCTAAGGCTGCATGGGCCGAGCTGCATGGGCCGTTGCTTATCCCACCCGGGCTGCCCGGCGGGTTATCCAACGGGCGAACCCACGAAATAATTAGGCGCGGCCTTTCCACGTCCTAGCACCGGCGATCTGTTTTGGTCCGTGTGTCCGCCTCAGTCAAAGCCATCAGCCGGATATTCGGTCGCCGTATTTCCCACGGCGTCGTGTTCCCAGTGGTGTCGGGCCAAGACGATAGCATCGCTCAGTTTTATGCTCGATGTGTTGTATTGCACAAGGCGTTGACCGTGTAAGCAAACATTTCAGGAGAGTTGATGGTTTGACGGACGGAAATGCCCAGGATGACGAGATCGACGTCAGAATATCAGAACGTCAGCATATTGGGTATAACAGATGGCTGGCAATGGACTACCCAGGCCCACAAGTGCCTCAAGGTAGCAAATTAGTAAAATCGATATTCTGGTCCCAGGCAAACAGCGGACCCATTGCGTAGGTATCCTCAAGCAGGGTTGGCGCATTGGGGTCGGCCATCTGGGCCAGGAAATCGAACTGGCCGGGCTGCATGTTGCTTCCTCCTGCTGCAGTCAGGCCGTCGCCCGTCGTGCCCGCAAGGAACTGCGCTGCAAGGCTGCTATTGCTGCCTAAGTTTCCGCTGTTGCCGTTATTGTTGTTATTGTTGCCATCCCTATGTCCTCCTCCTTCTCGTCCTGGCGCCCCTACACCGCCATCGCTAGCAAAACCATTGCCACTGGACGTGTTGGTAGCCAAGCTGTCATTCTCACCAGCGGCCTGTCTGAGGAGGGCATGCTCGTTGACCTTAAGCAGGAGGTCGAGTGATTTGCGTGCAGAGGCGCTGTAGAGTGCCTGATCTTGCAGAATAGAATGAGACTTGTCCCAAAGAGCCGCAATTTCATCACGATCGAGTGATTGCCAGAGGTCGGGACACGACCGAGCAACAATAAGGACTAGGCCAGCAGCACATGCGTCTGGATGAAGTTAGCATACTCAAAATTCCAATGGTAACTGCGAATCAAGTAAAAGGGCCGACGACTCACATAGGCCATTCCACCACCAGATGTCAGTCGTCTCCGTCCGGTAAACACTATGCACCAAGACGATAAGGCGTTTGGCTGCCTCGATGCAAGACTTCCCACATTCAATGGCAAAGGAATAGCGAAGGCCATCGCGTGTCAACAAGGACTGACCAGACGAGTTTGCGCCACTCGATGTAGTCGGGCTTGCGTCTGGGTTGGCAAGCTGGGACAAGATGGGCCGGTAGAGAATCAGCTGCAAGTAGATGAACCGGGCATGGAGGACATTCTGGCTAATGCCCATAACGAGGCGATCTTCTTCGGACACGTCGCCTGGCATGTCGGCATGTGCCGTCCACGAGAGAAACGGCGTGACCGATTGCTCAAATTGATCGAGACGGCCCTGGATTTCAACCACAGTATCGAGGTTGTGGTGGGTCTGTAGGGCATTGTTGGACGATGTACTGGATGTACTGGTGGTGGTGTTTCCGTTGTGGTTTGTATTGTTGGCATCCCGTGTCAGCCATGGCTTGTAGATGCGCTGCAGGATGTCTTCGAGAATTACACTGAGTTTGACACCTTCGTAATAGAAAGCTAGCCTGAGCGATTCTGGGCTAGAAGAATCTGGGTTCTTATTCAACATCTCCGGTGCAATCGACAAACTAGACGCCATGGGTGGCCGACCAAAGGTCATGCTCACGAGACTGAAAAGGTCAGCTTAAAAAAACAGAAAGGCATCACAAACGGTAAGACTTACACATCCATAACGACACAGCCGTGCCACGTCCGCTGACGCATCAACCGCATACGCTCACCACGCAACCGCCGGCTCGGACTGGTCTCCTCCGTGTGCAGACCAATACCCTGGGCCACGCGGCAGGCCATGCCAACGGCAATCCAGCAGCGGTTGGGGTAGGGTGTGCCTTGTAAGACGAGAGAGATGACCAGCATGGCTTGGACCACGCCGAGATTGTTGTAGTTGATGAGTTCAAGTCCGACAAAGGTCTTGGAGCGGTTTCCAAAGACGTCGATGGCGGCGGCGCGCTCGGCCGGCGGCAGGTCCGAGAAACAGCAGCCGAGAGCAAAGATGGCGTTGAGAGCGCAGTGGAATATGATACTGTCGGGACCGGCCTCGCTGCTGCCCAGACCCAGTCCGTCGAATTTCTGTTGCTGCGCAGCGATTTGGGGACGTGTTGCCGGGTCATCAACCTGCCACAGTCTCTGGTATGCGTGCTCAAAGGCTTCGCGATCGAAGAAGGGGTACTGGTAAAATATGCGGCTGAAGAAGCGCTGGATCAAGTGGTCACCCAGGGCACGAGGAGGCAAGGTGAACCGGTCCACATCAGTGAAGCTGAGCGTCGGCGGCGCCATGACTGGCGGAGGAGGCGGGGGCGGATGCGGCCGTGGCCGGACTGGCGACGGGGCTGATGTGGGGCCGCGACCTGCAAAGAAGCTGGACTGCGACGTGGTGGCGGCGGTGGTACCGGTCCCCGAACTTGTACTTGCGCCACTCCAATTTTGTCTCTGCGGTAACGCGCTGGCTGCTTCTTTGAGGAACGAAGCGGCCGATGACCGGCCGTAAAAGGAATCAATGGCGCCCTCGCCTTCCAGGTCTTCTTCAGACAGCACAGTGCCCATAGCCGTTACACCTGTGGCATCCTCCGGATCCATTTGCTCTGGAGACGTCATGTCAGAGGTGCCCGATTTCCCTGTTGCGGATACATTGGGCGGCGTAACCGACGGCTGCTGGTCCACAACACCGCCACGCCGGCCGCCTGACAGCATCACCGGGCTGGTAGCCGCCGAGGACGGGGCCGACATGGGCGGTCGCAGCCGGCTGTTGGACAGCAAGCTCACTCGCCCGGCCGAATTGACCTCGATTCCATACAGAGCACAAGCATGTTCTAGGTGGCGGATGCGCTCATGCAGGGCCTTTGTGTAGCTGGCTGTGTTAACAACAGATGGGGCAGCGGGCGGAAATCAAAAGTCGGAAACGATCCGAAGACTGCCGGGACTCAAAACTCACTCGTCGCTGCTCGCAGTGCGTGCATTGCCAACCGTATAGATACATTTCTCTAGGCCAAGAGAGCGGTGCTCGCATGACGAGCAGATGGGCTTGCGGCCGTCGCAGCGTGTCTTGCGCTCGCGGCACGGTTCACAGGCCAACACGATCTTTCGGCGGCGCTGGCGCTCTCGTGTGTCGGAAGCCATTGTGGGCGGATGGTCTCTAAAAACAAAAGTGCAAATTAGAACCTAAAAAGAGTCAAAATATGACATAAACAACCCCTGAATCCATCCGTTTTCTCTTGTGGACGGGCAGGAACGACCGAAGACATCGGCCGAATTCCCGAGTAGGCAACCGTATTTGGGGAATATCAACACGTGACATATCACGTGTTATCTACACAGAGAGTTCGAACTTGGAGAAAATGGAAGTTGAGGTTAACTGCTGCGTTTGTTCACCCGGAATGCATTTAAATAAACAAAAGCAATGGCTTGCCCATGCGCCAATCACATCACCTGTCCAGCTTTCATGTCTCCCCTGGCAATGGAATGATCGCTTCAACGCAGTGTCATCGTCTCCTATGTACCGTCTCCTATGTGTATCCTCTCTCACTTCTCAAAATTCTCAAAATTCTCAATTCTCTCACGTCATGTCAAACCATGCTTTGTCTTTGGAGCCATGTCGTGCTTCCTAAGCCGCCACGGTGGCCGGATCGTTTGGATCGCACCCTGTCGATGTCAGCAAACAGTTGTTTGGTCACTATTTCAAGGCGAGTCCAGAGTACGGCGTATATAAAACTAATTGAGGCCCGTCCGGCATTTATGGCCTTCAAGGCAGCTGACATGGACGCACCTTCAAAAGTGTAGTCGGCCCGCGCCCATTTGTGCATTTTCTCGCGACGAAACTCGTCAAAATCCCACTCGCGGCGCTCGAGCCCGTCGGGGTACTTGTACACGTACACCTGCGCTTTGACTGTTTTCTTCTGCTTCGTATTTTTGGTCTTTTCGGTCGTTTCGGTCGTCTGACCATTACTGGTGTCCTCGTCCAAGACAACATCGACCGTCCGGCGCTCGTACTCGGAGCCTTCAAATACGTCGAGGTGGTGCTGGTTGGCCGGCGTGACGCCGCCAATGAGAATACCGCGGACACTGGCGCCCTCTGCGTCGTCCGGCACGATGCCCGGGTACTCCTGGTACCGAACACGATGGCGGGTGTAGCCGGGAAGGACAGCGTTGCGAAACACATACTCGCGGACGAGAGCCGGTGGCGGTTGGGCGAGGCGGAAGCAGACGGTGAAGAAGACCTCAGGTGCCATCTGCAGTGGTCAGAGACGGCAGGGGCGCGCTTGATGCCATAATCAACGTCTGAGGGCGACTTACTAGAGTACCTAAAAGGGTTAGTAAAAACAGGTGCTGGAAAACACGTAGATACGAAACGTACCGTAGACAAAAGCATAGGACGTGCCGTCGGCGGCATCGGAGGGCACAGCGGCCTGATCCTCGTCGGCAGTGGCCATGGCTGGACTGTTCACGATAAAGGATCTCGAGGACGGAGGGTGAGAGGAGAAGACGAGGTTGTAATTTGGAGACGTTTAACATAGAGATTCCTGGATTTGAGGCTCAGATAAAGTCAAACAAACGAGTTGTTGAGGGATGAACGTATCGGGAAGTTGCACTCCAGAGGGACGAGGCAGGAAGGAGCCAGGGACCAACGTGCGGTGCGGCGGCGATAAGGCTGCCGCCAGGTACAGCCGTTGGAACACACTGTCGGAGTGGCGCCAAAGCCCCCCCTAAGCGCCAAAAATCCACCCCACATCCGACCTCATTCACTCCTCGCGTCACATCACCACATTCAGCCGAGTTTCGACGTCACCCTGGAGCCGACGTGACGCGGCCAGGTTTGACTCAATTGAGAGTGTTTTATACATGTCACACACCACACGCAAGCTTGACTGAAGACAACCTCGCCCTCGCTTGGCGCAATGCCACCCTCTGAAGACCTCACCGACGAGGTCGAGGCCATGAACTCCATCTACGGCGACGGTACGCTCGTGCTTGTCGATGGCGACCACAGCAGCGGTAGCGGGGGTGATGGCAGTGGTACGCTCGCCAATCTGGCCATTCCCAGGTCCGCAGACGACGTGGCTGGTGCTAGCGCTGGTGACGGAAATGGCACAGACGGTACCACGGGAGCCTCGACGGCGCATCGTATGAGCTTGCGTCTCTGGTTTCCGCCTGCCTATCCTGCGTGTCCAGACCCGCCAGTCGTTCTCGGTGTGCAAAGCGTGGGCGACAAGGCGGGCCACCGGCGACCCGGCGCGGCAGCACACGACGCCGAACAGGTTGGTGCCGCTCTGGCGACGGCATTCCAGGAAGGCCAAGTCTGCCTATTTGACGCCGTCGAGGAATTTCTCCGACAGAAGGGCGAGGAGGTAGAGGAGGGCGTGCACAACGAAGCAGCTGCGGACGACGACCGGGCTGCATCTCCACCATCTCCACGGCCATCAACCGCACAGCATCTGACCGAACCGCCGCCGTGGGTCACGACCGAGCCCGTCGTCGAGCTCAAGTCGACGTTTCTCGCGCGCTGTGCAGCCGTGCGCTCGCCCGCCCAGGCAGCCGCGTTCATCCAGCACCTCAAGGACACGGACCGACGCGTGCGGACGGCAACACACAATATGACGGCATGGCGGATACGAGATGAAGGAACGGGCGTAACGTACCAAGACTGCGACGACGACGGCGAAACGGCGGCCGGCGGGCGCTTGCTGCACCTGATGCAGCTGATGGACCTGTGGAACGTCGTCGTGGTGGTCACGCGCTGGTACGGCGGGCACAAGCTGGGCCCGCGGCGATTCGCGCTGATCAACCAGGCGGCGCGCGATGCGTTTGTGCAGGCAGGCCTTGTGGCCGTGGCCGAGCCAGGAAAGAAGAAGAGGTGAGTGTAGGAGAGGGGCTTGACACCGCCTGGTCATGTCGTTGCCTTGGTCGGCGTTCATCAGTGTCCATCTATTTATGGTATGCAAAGCATCTTGGGGCATTTGGTAGGCGTACAATTGTTTGGATTTATCTGCTTTATTTGGTTGGTTTTACTTTTATTTTATCTGTTCTTTTCTCATTTTTTCTCGTCTTTCTCTTTTCGTTACGCGTTATGTGCTTTCTCCATCTGTCCATCCTCGTCGCTAAACGCCCGAACCGGCAATCTTCTTCCTGTACAACCCTCGGCGGTCTCGCAAACGATGCCATCGACAATGCCAACCAGATCGAGCCACTCTGCTATTCACCCAAAGTCTTCTTTCATTCTGTCGGCACAGCACTGCCCTTGTGCAATTCTGCTGCATGTCTCATTTCTCATGTCCCCTTGCTCAGTCACAGCACCTGCTGTAACTCTCTGCTGCCGTGTCTTTTGTGGCACCAGACCTGCATCGAACAAACACACGGCACCTTGCAACTTTACACCTACGCTTCGTCCATCGAGGATGAAAGACGGAGACGGCTGGATACACCAATCGCAGCAGACCATATCGCCGTCTAAATCGCGAATCCATCGCGACCAGCTCCCGAAATAAGGTTATCCTGGCGCAGTATGTCAACCTTTCCTTTCTGTTGCCTCTAATTTCCAAAGGGGATAGAGTTCTGCTGCTGCCACCTCTCCCGACTGTTGCATGAGGACAGTCTCGGTGTGCCTCGCGCACGTCCGCACGGATTCGCCTCCACAAATCAGCCTTCGCCACGAGATTCCACGACCCTGGAAAAATGCTGGGCACTTTACGACTCCAAGCATCCACGCCTCGCCAATCTCGGAACAACGTCCCTGGCGGGACGAGCCCATGCCATGAACCACAAGGAGCGAAGTCGAGGAACGAACTACGAAGAGGTCCTCTGCTTCCTCTTTAACCCCTTTTAGATTAGCCGGTGGTACATGCGCCGGCGAGCGGCCGCGGCTCTCCCGTTGGGAATGGCTCCATCAGCTTGCCCATTCAGATTCTGCACAAAATCAATGGCATAGAACAGAAGAAAGGAGGCCAAAAAAAGAAAAACGAAGAAAAAGAGAAAAAGAAAAGAACAAAATCGTATCAACCCGAATCAGACAAGAGACGGCCCGGACTGTTCGGATAGCTCTAAAGATGAAGAAAAACAAGAGAACAAAGATCAACCTGCGACGAACGACGATCGATCTGCGATTTGGCAGAATTGGGCCCGCGCATTGCCCGTGCATTGCCCGTCTCCTGCCTTGCCAACAGAGCAAGGGAAGCTGTTTCAAGACAGCGACGAAATCAACAGGTGCACAACAACTGTTGATCCTGCTCAGTGCCCTTCATTGTCTCGTAGGCTGGTTGTTATATAATTCTTGTCACGCGAGGCACAACACATTGTGCATTCGTCTGCTGTGTATCCTTGCTCGTTGTGGCCCCCTTCCTCACTTGATGCCCTTTTTTGGCTTTGTTCCTATCTTTACTCGTCGTCTCACTATTTTATCACCATACGCTCACTTCACCCCTGTCTTACTTCTCTCTTTTACGTCCATTTTCCCGGGCCTCGTTCACATTTGCTTTGCCTCAACTCACCTTGTCTTGTTCATTATCCATCCCTCTTTCATCCTTCTCTGTATTCTCCGTTATATGATAAAACTCCTTCTATTAAGAGACCTTCAATTCTATGTCCTAAGATCATCCTCCTATATCAGATTTTGCCTTCTCCGTTTTCCTTACTGGGAACTGTCACGTCTCCAGCCAGTATCTCGTCTCTGGATCTTGCCCTTTTGTCTTGCTTTGCCTCTCTCTCCTACACAAATCTCAAATCCATTTATTTTCTATAATTTTTTCTTATCATTTTAACTTTTTCGTTCCCTACTTCACCGTCGATTCACACCACTCTACCACACCTCACCATGGGCTCCATGGTCTGGACCTCTGACGAGGCTCGCTACCTCAAGGCCATCTTCTCGTGGCAAGACCAGTTTGACGACGAGCAGGATGGCGGCAACCGCGTGCAGACCGCCGCCGCACGCGCCTTTGTCGGTGACTTTCGTGTGCTCCTCATCGGCGCGAAAGGCGTCGGCAAGACGGCTCTCCTGACGAGGGTACGTACCCAATCTGCTCCGCGTCTCTCCTCACTACGCACGTCTAACTAACCACTCTCAGTTCTGCGATGGCTCATTCCAGGACGATGCACCGCCGGATCCCCGATTCGTGCGTGGCGGACGACGGCCCCTGCGCATCGACAACCTCATGTACAGCATGGACGTCCTCGAGATGCCCTCCCAGCATCTGGTAGAGGAGGATCCACAAGCCACAGGGGCGCCGAACGATAGCAGCAGCAGCAAAAACAATGGCAATAAAGGCAAACTCGGCCGCGGGTCGCCGTCACCCACAGTGACACCTGCCGCCATGATGCTCGAGCAAGCCCTTGCCATTACTGAGGCAGCCATTGTCATTTACGACGTCTGCAACCCGGCGTCGTTTCAGCAGGCACGGCGCCTCTACGACCGGCTGCGCCAGGAACGGGGCATGGGCATCCACGACGCACAACAGGCAGACAAGACAAAGGGCGGCGACGACAAGACCCGGCCGAGGACGTCCAAGCGGGCCGTTCCCAAGAAAAAATCGATGCGCTTCCGAAGCTACAAAAAGGAGCAGCAGCAGCAACAGCAACAACAGCAACAGAAAAACGAAGAAGAGTCCCATCATGCGCGCTCCGTGTCCATGGGTGGTGCTCGTGCCCAGTCGAAACCCGCACGGCCCTTTGCCCTGCTTCTCGTCGGCACCAAGAGCGACGCCGACGACAGCGACCGGCGTGTGGCCTGGATCGACGGCAGCAAAGCGGCAGCCGTGCCGTCGCCGTCAGCATCCACAGCCGCGCTCCCCGTCCCGTCGATCCCCCCCATACCTGTGCCCTCGGCTGTGTCCTCGGCTGTGCCCTCGGCGGTGCCCTCGGTTCCTGGTCTACAGCCACACCCGCATCCGCACCCTCCCTCGGCGTCGTCGCCCTCGTTCTTCCTCGAGGCCAGCGCCAAGACCGGCGACAACGTCACCGACGTGTTTGTGCAGATCGGTCGCGAGATTTTACGGCAGAGGGCCGAGCGGCGGCGGCTGATGGACGAGCACGAGGCTGCGGCGTTGACAGCCTCGGCCTCGTCCAGCACGACAACGGCCAACACCAACAACACGTCTCTGCTGCGGAAAAGGAGCCACACGTCGGCGATGACGACAACAACGACACGGCGGACGTTTGGTGTGATGCGCGTGCTCGGTTGGACGTTTGGCCGGCGACCTGTCGTCGTGCCAGAAGGCCAGGCCGTCGCGTGACGGCGTGAAGGGCGTTGCCAGCTTTCCGTTTGTTTTGCTTTTGCTTTGTGTTTCTTTTTTCTTATGTCTCCGTCGATTTATATCCAATCTTACTTTTACGATAATGTGATGCTTTTTGCCTTTGCTTTCTGTTCACTTCATGTACATATTCTTCGCGACTTCCGTCGTCCTTTGGTCTTTTATTATTTATCGCGGGCATACACTCAATACTAATAAAAGCTACTTGAAAATACAAACTAACTCTTAAACACCCTGCATGCTTGAAACGTAAACACCACAACCCACCACAGCTCACCACAACCATAGCCCCATAGTGGCGGCGACCGTGATGGTGACCAACAACAAGAGAGGAATACTGCGATGCACGGCACCCGACACCACTTCGAGGGCCGTCTTCCCGCAGCATGTATTCTCGTACGAGACACCGTTGAGCTTTGCCGCCACCTCAAAGACGGATCCGGGCGGCGCACCCTGGTCGTAGTAGTCGACATTCAGAATCAGCGGCGGCCGGCCCCACGTGTCCACACACACCTCGGCCGCCGCGCCCAGGCTGTTGATGCCCGTCGCCGCATTCGACTGGTTGAGCAGCGCCAGGGCCGGCACCGTGAAATTCTGGCCTAGCAGCGACACCGCCAGGTTGACATTATGATTCATCAGGTAGAGCGTGCTGTTGGCGACCCCGGGCGGCAGGTCGGGTGGACGCTGCACGGGGCACGGCAGCGTCTCGGTCACGGGCACCGACGTCACCACGGGGTCAAAGGGCGTCTCCCACAGGTACGCAAACTCGTCGAGCAGCCAGGGGTACGCCGTCTGGTTGGCCTGGTAGTCGAGCATCATGAGCACGCGCTTGCCGTCCGCGAGCATCTCGCCGAGGGTCGGCCAGGCGTCCAGCGCGAGGCCGGCGGCGGTGGTGGTAGTGGGCGGCGGCACGAACGCGTACGGCACCAGCCCGCTCGCTTCAATGTGCGGCGCATACATGCTGGCGGCCGAGTAGTTTCCGTTGCCCAGCAGGATTGTGACAAAGTCTTGCGGGTGTGCGTCGACCCATGTGCGCACCTCGGTCAGCCAGCCTTCAATGGGCCCCGCGTCCAGCAGCTCGCACGAGGTATGGCAAAAGTGCGGCCCGGTCCCGTTATCTTGGGCCGGGAAGTGCATCTGTGCCTGCACGAACCGGATGCCGTCATCGAGCTGCTGCGTCACCTTGAGGTTCTGGTTGGCCGCGAGGTTGTTGCGTTGCACAAACGGCGAGTTGTGGGCGCCGACCAAGGTGACGTTGCTGTACTTGCGCGAGCAGAGTTCGGCATAGCCATTGCAGACTGTGGTGTTGGTCAACGGAATGGTGGTGGTCACGTTGGGAGGAGTATTCGAGCTGTTGGAGTCCTTCACGACTTGGCCTAGGGCCCGCTGGAGATTAGGCAGAGAGCCGCGGATTGTGCTCCTGGCCTGCGTAAAGGTCAACAAGAAGACAAGAAAAAAGGGGGCGAATAAAAGACGCATTTTAGGATCGGAAATAGGGGATCAAGGGCGGCCACAATTATGTGTTGGCATTAGCAGTCGACCGGGCATGAAGCAAAGGTCAAAGGATGTGGGTGGATAGCGCAAGGCGAAGGGTGGCTGGTCGAGATCGCAATTGCTATTGTCTGGTTCTTTGGTCGCTGTCCAGGAACAAGATTTGAAGCTGTCATTTTGTCGTTTTCCTGCCATTTACTATTTCGACCGTGATGCTCATCTGAAAGGGAAGGCGCCTGGCCAATATGTTGGGAAGGAGCGGTCAGAGACATCAGATGGCGGAAGCCACGTGCCACCCGGAACATCGCGACACAAGATGCCATGTCCTCCACACAACACCTAACGTGGTCAAGCTTGGTGTTCACCTTATCTTGGTTGGTAGCGAAACTTGGAGGGTGGGCAGTTCATATATCGATCTAGGCTTGGGTTGCATGCAGCGGGATCGGCTGGGCACACGATCTGCCGCCACAGCCTCGTGCAGTCTCAGCCAATAGGCACGGGATGCCGTCCCTGTCATTTGACATGGATGCATTTGGACGGTCGAAAATCAACTGCAGATGAAGGCAGTCTTTGTTTTGGTTTAGTTGATATTGTTCTGTTTTGTCGGAACATTTTATAGTGTATATTTGATGAAAGAGGAAAATAAACAAAGGAAAGTGTACCAAAAAAAAAAGATTTAAAAGCAAATCTCGGAAAAATTAACCATTTTATTTTGGAACAAATCCAACTCAAAATATACGCAAAACGCCCCTTAATAAAAAGTATTCTTTTGGACATTTTCAGATACCTTCACTGCCTTACACGTTCAGACTTTCGGTAGTTGCAAATGTACGTGGTCTTGCTATCAGGAACACAGTCGGCTACACCATCGCACCTGCCTTCACAAACACCTGCCAACCGCGATGCAGGTGCCCACCGCCACGGTCACTTGCTACTTCCTCACGCGGTCTGTTGCTCGCAGCTGTGTTACTTGCCGTCTTTAGGAGCCATGGTTTCCTCGGCCAAAATGACTGCTGCTGGCAGCTCCAGTCTTTGTCGACAGCCTCATCCGGCCAACTGACCTACATCCACCCACCTGACCTTGTCGTGCATCTCTCCCCTCGCCGACAACACCACAAGGCATTTTCTCTTTCGCCAGTTTACTTATCCTGTATATTTACTTCCGGACTTCTTCTCTCCGTCTTTTGCCACTGATCCTTACATCTCCTGGTGACCAGTATGTGGGACGGCGAAGGCGTGTTTGCGGAATCTTTTTCATCCGAATCCGCATCATCCACCTCATCCCTCGACGTCGACCTGCCTTGGTAACGACGACCTACAAGATATCCTTCTACCTCCGACCATGAGCCATTTCGCTACCAACAGCACACCTCGGCTGTCTGCCAGAAAAGTTCCGGTAGACGCAGCCCCAGGGACCTCAGAGGCGGTGAGATCTTCAAGTACGCATAGCTACTACACCAGCAATGGCACCGTGACTCGCGCAAATCCTGCTAGTCCTACGAGTCCCGTTGGGGATGTGGGCCATCTGGCCGCCAGAACGGGTGGTACCGACCTACAAATCTCGGCGGGTGCTCGATTGCCCATCGACGAGGACTCGGTCCCGCTAAGCTATGCCTCGCCGATCCCGAACAATATCCACACCTCCATACGGCTTCGCAACGGTACGTCAAGTCATGCTGCACACGATGGTAGTCACGGGGATCGTCCTGGCCATGGTGCGTCCATGTTCACGCCGTGGATCGGCTCTACGGCAGGCGCTCGGGCCTGGAGCGCTGCCGATGAAGTGGAAGCTGCCATACCGACAAGAGGCGAGATCTGGATAGCTACCCGGCTTCGGCGCTACCTCGTCGGCATCAGCTGCGTGCTATACCTTGTTGCCGCTGTTCTGCTCATCGTGGTAAGTACACTTGTAACATGGTATCCTGCAGAGAGGGCTGAAATGGCAGACAGCGCAGAAGGCCAAAAGGGGGATTGCAGCACACACTGACATGCATGCAGGTCCAAACAGGAAGCACTAATACCAGCCGGACTTCGACCAGCATCTTCCTCTTCCGCTTCGACCTGTCGCAGCTGTTCGACGACAGCGTTATCCCTGGCACCAACACCACCGACCCTGCCTGGGCCCATGCCCTCTCCCAGAGCCTAGGCTTGCGCAACTACTACCAGTCGGGCCTCTGGGGTTACTGTGAGGGCGACAGCTTGTCCGCTTTTTCCAAATGCTCGCGTCCCCAGGCATTTTACTGGTTCAACCCCGTCGGCATCATTTTCAGCGAGCTCCTCAATACGAGCACCGTACCGCTGCCCATCCGCGTCCAGACCGTTCTCGATATCATCCGCTACCTCTCGCAGGCCATGTTCGGCACCTACCTTGTCGGCACGATCGTATCGGGCCTGCTCGTTTTGTTGTCGCCGCTCGTGCTGCTGTCCCGCTGGTGGAGCGTGCCCATCGGTATCCTCGCGGCCGCAACGGCGCTCTGTCTCTTTATTGGCTCGTCTCTGGCCACGGCCGTGGTGCTCGCGTACCGGCTGGCGGGCTCGGCCATCAACCAGCTCAACATTTATGTCGACGTGGGCAACACCATGCTGGCGCTGGTATGGACGGCGTCGGTCCTGGCGTTTGTGTCGCTGGTCTTGCACGCGATCCTCGGCATTTGTGGACCATCGCTCCGCGATCTTCGTACTGGCCGGCGGGCGCTCATCCGGCTACCGCCCCTGGACATGATGGAACTGCCTTGTGAAGAGCGCACTGACCTTGAAAACAAGCCGGGAGCCGCAGCAGGCATCAAAGAGCGTATGCAAAGCAAGGGCGGAGCCGTAGCCGCTGCACTGAAGCCATGGTTCTCACCTTTGGCCATGCACCCTTTCGTGATGCGCGAAAATGCTGTTCCGGCCAGCCCTCCTCCTCCAGCCCCCCATACAAATGAACTGCCTATGTAGGGAACGGTTTGCTGACGGAATCTCGAAGCATCTTGGATGATCCTATCCCCTCTTGAAATGACGCCCTGCCCTGGCCGCATCCAACCGAGTCCGTTGGGTCATTTTGGATACACTTGCACCCGAGGCCGGGCCTCAGATAGTATAATATCAAGTATCGCTAGGAAATAGTGTTCCAGAAAATATATTCAAGATAAGCAAAAACATAAGCCGTATCCTATCGGTGGCTGCGGGATTCCAAGTTCCCAGCTTTCCGTGTGGTGTCTCTTGCTCAGTTCCACTTTCTACTCCCTTCGCCTTTATTCCCCTTTGTCACTTTTCTCTTCCACCATCTCATTTACAGACCGGTGTACTTGTACTCGGCCCAGCGGGCGGGGATGTAGACGACAAAGGTGAATAAAAAGGCCAGCTGGTTGCCAATGTCGCCGCCAGTGTCGCCAATCTTGCGTGCCAGCACGCCCACGTACCACGTCTCGCTCATGCCCAGCACGCAACCGGCAATACCGGCCGCGAACGCGAGGCCGCCGGCCCAGCCAAAGGGCATGCGCTTCGGGTTGTTCCACGACTCGAGGTCGTAGTTGTCGTAGCCCTCGGAGAAGCCTTTGCGGAACAGGTAGTGCTCGAGGAAGATAATGATGAAAAACGACGTGTTCCAGTAGCCCAGCAGCGACAGGAAGTTCTCGAGGAACGACAGCAGGTGGTCGCGGCCGACGAGCGCGAGCAGGATGACGGCGACGAACATGAGGGCGGTCCAGATGAAGCGGGGTACTGCGCCCAGCGGGCGGGCAAACTGCTGCACGGACAGACCGGCACTGTAGAGGGCAACGGCATTCATCGCAATGCCAGAGAGCGCGAGGATGACGAGAAGGAACTTGGCGAAGCCCTTGGGGTGGAGCATGATCTGGATGAGGAAGCCGATGCCCTCGTCGTAGGCGTCCGACCAGTCGGGCTTGCTGTCGAGCGACGAGGCCACTGCAGCACCCAAGCACATGCCAAAGCACGTAGGCAGGCCTGGAATGGAAGAGACTGTCAGCATGGAGCGCGTCTTTTTCATCGTCCTCCCATTTCTGTTTTGATTCTGTATTTGAAATGCTTTACTCCTCGCTTTACTTACAAATGCCAGCGGTAGTGAGGAGGAAGACCTTGAGCTTGGAGGTGTTGACGGGATACTCGACGTAATAGTCGGCCACAATGGAGCACCACGACGCAGACGAGCCGTAGACAACAGCAAACAGCGTCAGGGCCGTGCCGGACAGAGTGGCGCCCGTGAGCTTCGTCTTGATGCTGCTGTCGCCATAGTGCGCGGTCTCGCCATACATGATGATGAACACCACAAACAAGACGAGGCCGGCAAACTTCTCGTAGGTGAAGACGGCGCGCAGGCCGACAAACGAAATTACGAAGCCAATGACGGCAGCAATGACGACGCCGAGCTGCGAGCCAATCTTGCCGTCCGACACGGCCGACAGCGCCAGGCCGCCGGTGATGCTGCCCACAGACGACCAGCCGACCTGCTCAACGACGTTGAGCGCGGCAATGACCTTGGACGGCCACCAGCCGATGGAGTAGCGCGAGATGGAGACCTGGCGCAGGCCCATGCCGGGGCCCATGGTGGCGCACCAGCCGGTAACGGCGCTGCCGAGCAGTGTGGCAAAGACAATGATGGCGACGTTGCGGCTCAGGTCAAGCCCAAACTCCCAGCCCAGAAAGCCTGTCGTGAAGCAGCTAATGTTCATGGTGGTGCTCATCCACAGCAGATACATGACGGCCTGGTTGGACCAGCGAGCATAGTTGGGGTCGCGGTCCTCCGGCCGGCGGCGAGTGATGCCAGCACTCTCGACGCCGATCTTGCGGTCGAGGGCGTTCTCGTAGGACCGGAGCGTGGCGAAGAAGCGTGACACGGCGTTGGAGGAGCGCAAGTAAGAGGGCAGGTCGTTGTCCGAGGACGACTCGGT